GCATTTTAATTCGTAGGTGTAAATGAGTTGCAGACTAGAAACTCCAAACGCATTCGGAATTATTAAGTCAACGTGAAATCGTAGAGATTTTTCTGTGTAAATTATTCATGTAGCCCGCGTCGAGAGAACTTTCGACTTGTTCTCGCGAAAGCCTTTCACTCTTATCGTCTCATGTTATGTGCGAAGATTCAGGTGCGCGGATCTAAACTTAGGTGACCTTAGCACTTTCTCGCTGACGCAATAGTTGATTAAGCTCGAGGGGTAGGGGGGTGTCATTTTAAAATTACACAGTACATTTAGTCACAATTTATTTAACTACTGACGAAATTCGCTTTAAAACTTTTTGACAATTGCCTCCTTGTAGAGTGTTCACATCGATTAATCCAACAATTTAATTCCAATCGGACACTAAGATGTTACGATATGCATTATGCATGCCATCGCTGGCTTCGATTTATTACTACAGTTTGAACAATTAATCATTTAGCGTTTGCTTCGGGCTCGGCCTTATTTATCTATGGTGGTACGTGATGTTCGCGCGGGTTGTAGAATAACGGATGCGTTGAAGTTCGGACAGGGGCGGTCGGTTGCAGAAAGTGTGTTAATGCGTGCGCGATTTGCGCAACGAAGCGCGCACGACACGCGCCACAAGCGACCACAGTCCGCGTCGCCTCACGCGATGCGCGTGCGCCGATATACCGCAAGGCGCGATATTCCCATCCTATTGCTGTCCCGTTATATTAGAACTTTTAAATGAAACAATTTAACGGTTTAAAACGTAATATATATTAGTTTAGTTAAACTTATTTGAACATTAACTAGGCCCGATTTTTCGGTTGCTTTGCAGCAGCCGTGGTCACGGGGAGTCTTCCTCTGATTAAAATTAATGTAAGTAATAATTTTCGCGTTTTAAATAGTTAGTGTTTTATTTAAATTTATATTCCTCGCGTAAACTACAGGCAGTATATTAGAACTTGCTTTTGTTAGAACCGAAAGATAATGATTTATCAAATGAAACATTGCCATAAGTGACTAATTCTCACATATTTTTCGAGCTTCCATCTATATACTAAAGCCTCTTTAGTAAATTTTATTTGAGCAATAAAAATAATTAATAATTGTTTTTGTTCATAGCGATAGTATAGATAACGAGCATAGCGATTTTCACTTGTAAACAAATTAAATCCAAAAACTAACGATCTTTTTAATCACTACTTCAGAGTTTTACAGAATATTCTACTATACGCCATAAAAAATAACAATGTGAAAGTGGCACGACAGAGGTGGGCGATTCAAATTAATTTAATTAAATCGCTTTTTTAATTAAAATTATAAATATGAATGACCATGTGAAAATTGTGTTAGACGACAGATAATAGTTTCTAATTACTTTGACTAATTGCGAAATTTGAGTCTTCTGCCTCGTGTACAAATATAAAAGGTCGCCGCCGGTTCAAGGAGCTTGCTAAACACCACAGGTATATACAAAATTTTGTCGCTTATAATTAATGCCTTCGAATATAAACGCGATATATTTTACCTAGTTAAACTTACTTGGAAATATAACTACGGTCTGATATTTCGGATACCTATCAGCAGCCGTGGTCACGGGGGTACTAAAGATGGAGGGTGTACTAGGACGCAACAGATGGCGCTAGCCTAACAGTTTTTTTACTTTGACATTAGAGACACCCTTCATCTTTAGTCCGTGACCACGGCTGCTGCAAAGCATCTGAAACGTCGGGCCGTAGTTAAAATAATTTCAAAATAAGTTAACCTATTATATCTCGCGTTTTAAACCGTTATAACGTTTTATTTTAATGTGAACTACTCGCGTACACAAACGCATTTAGCCTTATCACGTGTTTCCAACATGTAAATTTTTAATCACGTTAATTCATAATAAGTTTCGTGATCGGAAACCGATATAATTCGATACATTTCACATATTTTACAGCCACTACCGACTGTATATGACTTTCTAATCAAGTGTTGCAAACGATAAACATTGCTTTTTATACAAAGTTTGCATACGACAATCTTGCATAGACGGACTTTGAAGTTTTCTTTTAATCTAGTTCTCGAACAGTACTAAGATACATCTCTTAAATAAAACACTTTAATGGTTAAAGTCGAAATATACGAATTAAACTTGTTTATAAATTATTTTAAATAACAGCCCGACGTACGTGGGTACGGGGAGACTCCTCATGACCACGACTGCTGCAAAGCATCCGAATCTTCGGGCCGTAGTAAACAATAATTTGTAAACAAGTTCAACTAATATATTTTACGTTTTAAACCGTTAAAGTTTTATGAAATGTGCACTACTCGCGAAAACTACAGGCATTAAAATGCATCTTATGAATGCAATAACCTAAACACAGTCTCAAGGCCAAACAATCGATTTCAAAGGCTAAATTACATGGATAGCCAGGTGTGCCAGTTAACTTCCCGCTCGTCCCTTCGCATACCTATGAGTAGGAGTGGCGAAGCCGGTCAATGGATGTAGGCTAACAAGTGGCCCGTGTTTGTTAATGAGCGGCGCGGGGTGCCAAGTCGCCGGACTGGCGAAACCGACGCACGGCATTAGTATGCCGGCGGATCACAACTTTCTACGCATTCTTGGTGGCAGCCGAAGAAATGAACGCACACACGAAACGTTTATATTGTAAGCGATCTAGTCCTCGTTTTGTGTCAACTAAATTCATTTTGATCTGAGCGATATATATAGAAATCTAGATGTCTTTTTATACAATTTTGAATATCGAACGCAAAAAAAAAAACACTAAGCAATTCCAGCCATAATGTTGAGTTGCTTTTTAAAGGATAACCATAACACATTTCTAAATAAATACTTCAACGGTTTTAAACGCGATATATATTAGTTAAAATTAGTTTAACTACGGTCTGACGTTTCGGATGCTTTGCAGCAGCCATAGTCACGTGGAGACTAGACTGTTGTTTTCTAAACCGTATGTACTACTCGCGTAAATTACAGACAGTATTTAAAATATTTTACTTATTAATATTAACATTGTGTATAGAAAAATACAACAAAACAAATTCTACCAAAGTAGAACGTTATCAAAAGACGTTATTGTTCTAACTACAATAAAGCTTTGTTAACACGAGTAACGTTTTCTTCCGATCTCGCTAGATTTTCATCTAATAAAACGTTATGTTAACGGCACGTTACAATTGCGCAAGAGTAAATTAAAAAACAGTTCACTAAATTGGTGTGTCCCAGATAATGTTAGGTCCAATATTTATCTTCTGGTAGTGGTGGTGGTAGGTAGTTGTCATTGAACTGAATTCGGTGGTAATGTGACTGGTTAAAAGTCTGAATGTTTCTTGATTATATTCATTTTGTAAAGACCTCTTAGTTGACTATATCAAGTTTGCGCCCAATATTTAATGCGTTACAAGACTTATAATAAATAGACTAAGAAGTATAGTCGGCAGTGCTCTCATTGAAAAACTCACTAGATCCGGCTTCGAATCCTGGGCCGGTAAAATTTAATTTTAATATACGGAATTGTCTTATTAACGTCAACCCAAAAAACGGTTTTTGTATAGACATGATTTTACATATAAACGGCTCAATATCCAATAAATCGATATATTTTTAGTTAACTTATTTTAACAAGACTTTTTGGTTACCCTGTAGCAGTTATCCTGCGAGCACAGCTGCTGCTAAAGCATCTGAAACATAGAACGTAATTGGAATTAACTTATTACAAAGTTAACTGATATAATACACGTTTTAAATCGTTAAGTATTATACACTAAACACGACACTTAAATACTGTTTTATTTTTATTATATCTAACATAACAAGGCCGATTGTCAAAAGAGTTGTCTAAACTCACTCTTAGTGACTTACAACCCTTGTTCGCTGCTAATTACTGAAAATTAATATATTATGCTATGCAAGTAATAATTACCTATATTATTCGGATGATAATGCCATACTTTCACACGTTACTATCAAATAAACTTAATAATATTAAAGAAAGTTAATGAGCGAATGACAAAATACCGTTAGAAGTCCTTACTTACTTAGTTGAATAGTGAAATTTGTGTAACCGGGTCTCTACTTACAATTTATATGTAATATAATATAATTAATTATATAACACTTTTAAATTGTGTTCACAGCGCTTTCTGAATTTTATGCATACATTGTTATATAATACTAGCTAAGGTCAGCGACTTCGTCCGCGTAGAATACTTATTTCCATTGCTGGTGTCCAAATTTGCTTTTATAAATCTCCCGTTCAATTCTATAAATTTAGACTGTTAACCACGACGTCGCATCCCTACCCGTCGTTCTTAAAGTTAATCTTATAAGATAGACATATAGCGTCGCGGACGTTTTTTTACATCATTTAAAGTGGAGTCATTCTTCCATACATATTTTTTGGGTGTCTTGAACCGTTTTTGCAGCGCACGCCTCGGTGACCCATAATGATGAATACTTTCCCAGATTTTTCGGCATTCCCACTGTTTCTTCTCTCCTATTAGTTACGGCGACATGTTTTATAACAAAAATAATTTTTCAATCCGAACCAGTACTTCCTGAGATTTGCGGGTTCTAACAGACAAACAAACTCTTCAGCTTTATATATTAGTACCTATAGATCTATGCATATTAAGACCGATTTAATAGCGTTATATAAACAATTATTTCTATTTACTAAATGTTTTGCGATTATAATTCGTTTTTATACAATCGCCGCGTCGTCTACTTATTTTGGATGTGGATATTCGGAGATCCACAGACTGAAATTGAAAGTACCTATATTGCTGTCACGCATACCGCGGTTGCTTGGAAGAAAACGCTAATTAGCTATAAAGCTGCCGTTTGCCCTTAATTCCTATTTCCAATTTTATTTTGTGTTTTGTCCTGTTTCTAGTTTTGTGACAATAAATAGTATTTGTATATTGGTTAGTGTTTCACATAATAGTATATAATGTTTTATTTTATTTCTTTCCAGGTTGCAATGGCCGGCGACTTCATCCTCGCGGTGGCTTCGATGATGATAGCTCGTCTGCGCAGTGATGAAGTCACTCTAGTGCTCAGTCAGGTTAGTTGGTACCTGAAATTATTTTTAGGAAATATTTTTAATTATAGAAGTGGACAGACTACTCTCGGGTTTACTTGATGGTAGTTGAAATATCTCAGCTTATAGCAGCCATATAAACCATTTTTAGTATTATTTATATGGTAGGTCCTGGTAGTTTATAGTAGCTACCAAATTAATTAAATACTTAACAATCTGATTAGGTTGTATCTGCCTTCGTAATTAATTAAAAGACGAGAGCTTTTATTACCTAGGTAAAGAATTCAACTATTTTCTATTGAAACTACCACATTTCCATTTCCACCCGAAACAAGACTCCGGCCAGGTTAAGTTCATCGATCCATATTCAATCAAAACGATTTTCATACATAATTCATTTAATACCGGCGCGGAAGTACGTATTATTAACAAACATTGCCCCTATTATCACTATTATCAATGTAATTAATGTACAAAGTAATAAACAATAATTGGCAACCCTGGTTTTCCATAATTAAAAAAACATTTGGATATCCTATTGGGCGGTGAATCCGTGAAGATGTTAAGTAAATGTTGAATGTAATTGTAGTTATGACGATTCTATGTAAATAAGTCTTCACACTTCAACGAATATTTGGAATGACTGAAAGGCAAACGTTTGGATAATTATAACATTTTAGGAAGCGTTGCTTTATTGCTTGTGCCCCGCAAAGGAGTAGATGTTACATACATATAAACGGCTCCAATAAGGAAAAACTACTTTTTGTTTGCTGTAATACCTTTGTTAATTTTTTCATAAACAGCTTTTTTTAATTATTCATTAACATTGATGGATTTTTTTTGTACTATACAAAAAATATATGGTATGTTTTATGTATTACAGGTGGTAACAGATTTAGTGCAAGGAGAATTTATGCAGCTTGGCAGTAAAGAAACAGAAAATGAGAGATTCGCACACTACCTCACAAAGACTTACAGGAAGACCGCGTCACTTATTGCCAACTCAGTTAAAGCGGTAAGCTTATAACGTTTTTATAAAAAAATGAAAAGTTTACAAATACGGTTTATTTTATAAACTCTTACTATGTTTTCAAAAGTTAATATTAAGCTTTTGGGAAGCGATACATTTTATAAAAACGCTTTAAAAAAAGATTTATTACTAGTGTTTTTTTAAGTATTTTTTTAAAATTAATTATACAAATAAACTCTATAAATTGGACAGAAAGACAAATAAAACATATCATAAAACAAGAAGACAAATCTCCAAGATTTTATTACTCTTTAAAATGGGGGAATAACGCCATCTATCGAGTGAGAGTAAAATAAACTAATTACGCTTTATAATTCCAGGTGGCGCTACTAAGCGGCGCGGACGAAAGCACGTGTGAACTAGCATTCCAGTACGGACGCAATGTGGGTCTATCGTTCCAACTGGTTGATGATTTGTTGGACTTCGTGTCTTCAGCACAAGCCATGGGCAAACCGACTGCTACTGACCTCAAACTGGGCCTCGCCACTGCACCAGTTCTTTTCGCATGTGAAAAGGTTTGTATCTTTTTAAATCTTTCCAAGGCAAGATTTAGTTCCTCAACTTACCACATTTGTTTACCAGAGTGGCAGATAATGGTTTCGTTTATTTTTTACCTGTACAATTATTTCAAGCATATAAATGTAATTAAATGTCGTACAAAATTAAAAGTGAAATCCCCATTTCCCTCTACGTTTAACAAAGGTCAAACAGTTTAGTATTTTTTATTTCTGCAAGGAGGGTAGAATATTTCTTGTCTCATTATTATTATCACATTTACAGTACCCCGAACTGAATCCGATGATAATGAGGCGGTTTCAAGAAGCCGGTGACGTCGAAAAGGCCTTCGAACTGGTGCACAAATCTCGTGGGCTAGAACAAACGCGTTTCCTCGCCAGAAAGCACGGCTTGGAAGCCGCCCGACTCGCCTCAGAACTAGCCGACTCGCCCTACCAGAAAGGCCTAGTCGTCACCACCGACCTCGTACTCAATAGGATCAAATAGTGCGAGATAAGTTTACATTGCATCCTGAACTGTAGAGGACTTTGTGGAAGATAAGCGGTCTAGTGTAGTCTTAATAGGAACTTGATGGTAAAGTTGCCCGAGGCAATATAATATAATAACAAAGAAAATTTAAAGGTTTTACAAACACAGCGTTCATAAATGAATAATACTTATGGAAATCCAATAAGACATTAAACATTTCGGTTCTGTTTATATTAATAAGATGGTAAACGATTAGCGTTCAAATGATGAAAAGTAAAGAATTTATTACAAAGAGCAGTAAAATGTTACACAATATTCGTCATTGTTTAAACAACAAGGAACTCAAATATATCATCTTTATAGAAGTATTATGCTGATATTGAATACCTTATTCCCCGGACCACTTTGCCAATGGTTTTTTAGTATAACGCTTAGAAAGGCATCCATAGTTCTCTTGAAGACATTCGAACTTAATTTCAATGTATTGTTAGGAACCGTCTCTTATCAAGTATTGTACATTTCATATAACTGCATTGAGCAGTGCTTTGTTTTTACGCCATCTTAAACGTCTTAACATTTACCCTTTATTCATCTAAAGGCTCAAATGATAAAGAATTTTGGATACCTTTTTTTTGAAGGTGAAACGAGATATTAATTTTATTACTGTATATTCTAATCGTGGTGTGTGAATGTTGCGTGCTAGTTTAAAAAATGTATCCTGTGTGTGTGAATCTTGGAACGTCGACGCGTTCACAACCGAACGAATCTTATCACCGTGCCGTGCGTAAGCGCTGGACCATACAAAAGTTTTATTTATTCAACGGTTGCGACCGACTTGTGTCCTGTATCTTCGTTTTTGTGACCTGATTTATGTTAAGTTTTCTAAAATCGTTTTCTATCGGAGCGTGTTTGTGACAGTGGGTTACCAAAATGTCGCTGTACATAATATACAAGTATGCTCATTTTTGTCAATGTAATCGATTTATTTTGCCGATAGGCTATTTTAGTTCACTTGTGCTGTATATAGTTATTATAGTATTTTTTAGACACGTGCAATTTATTGTCTCTTAACCGTACATAACTAAATACCCCCGTTCAGTTTCGATTTTCTCTCTCTATGTAAATACTGGGAAGTCATTGGATTAGTTACCCGTTTGCATCTTCAGAACCAATTACCTCAATTTCTTAGTATACACATTGTATGTATATTCTTAAATAGTATTAAATTGTTAGGGTTTATGTTGCACAATAGTTTACGAGATGTTAGTACCGTTTGGTATAAAATTAGAATACAGTATATTCCAATTGTAAATAGTCTATGGGATGCGTTCGTTGATGTTTAACGAATTTATGATCGACGGAAGATATATAATCTTTATTGTTATCGAAGCATAAGAAATGTTTATTACTTAACAAAAATATTAGTCATAAAATTATTTGTTATATAGGCCGACTCATTCAAGTATCATGTATTTTATTATTAATGCTTTAATTTATACGTCCATAAATAAGATGATATTTAACGATACGAAGTGTTCGTATACTTCACTACTGTGCGATCGTATTCATCGTAAGGGGGATTGTATGTACTTTAGAAGGGAGTCAATTTTATTTATAACATTATGTATTTAGTCATGTATGTAGCCCTTATTGTTTGTAAATACTTACTGTGTAAAGTGCTAAATCATGAATAATTTTATAAATAATAGTTACAATATCATATTGTTTCATTTAATAAATATGGTTCATCTATTAAATTATATTTTTACTTTGCCTTTTTAGGAACATTTCCTATGGACCTTCAAGCCAAGACCGCCTCTAAATGGTTAAACGTACTGCCTAGCATTGCGTTAAGCGCGAGAGGTCCTGGATTCAAATGCCAGGGAAACAAAAAATTGTTTCGGTCGGGCAGGGCACAGTAGTCTGATGAACTACTTGCCTTTTAAAAAACGGATCAGTGAAACGAACAAAAAAATGTGTTCGCCCCATGCCCCATGCCATGCACGTGGGGAAACCGGGATTTCACTTTATCAAGCCAATAAAAAGCGTTTGTCCTATAAGAAATGTCAAATAAGAAATGACCTGGTATGAAAACTATATTCTTTAATATTTTCGAAATATAAACAATAGCCTCCGAAATCTTAAAGAATGAGGGCCACTCGTATTGTGTTGCGATTCGGCAAATCTTGAAATATTAGTATAACGTCAATATCTTCGATCCAATTACTAACTTGGACAATTCCAAGTTTGTAATTGCAATAAACCATACTTCCGGTCTCATTTCATCTTATATGTTAGGTACATATTTATTATTGTTATATCCACAATGTTCATCAATATAGTCTGTGGTAAAGTTTTTGCTTAGACCGTGGTTCCTGAATTTGACGTTTCCATGCATTTATTTCTGATAGAGGAGTAAAAAGAATGGACATTACTTGATGATAGGTAAAATACCCCAGCAACATAACAGCTAAACTAGATGCGCTGTCGATCTATTTTGACTATAGATATTAGATAGTAACAGACTGAAACGAAGACGCGAATAAATTTGGCGGCTTTTCCATCCGTGGGCAGTGATTCGTAATCTGAACGGAATTTCGATATTCCTGCCATCCATTTAATTTCCAGACGAAGTGCAACTGTATCAGAAAAAATATGATAAATTTATTAAATTATGTTGGACCCAATGGGGACCGAACGCTCGACCCATTGATTATAGGCCATGCATTGCTACCATTACACCAATTATCAAAAAAATAGGTAGGCTTCGGTTGACCTAGTTACTATCACTACCTGTTCAAAGTACTTAGTACGTTCGCGAATTTTGCATACAAAAAGCTTGGAATAAATGAGAGCATTGTAATGTATCGTGTTTGCGGATATCGATCGACCCGTGACTGGCACCGCTGGAGCGTACCAGAAAAACTACGTGGATTATTTAGACAGCCTTAATAAAATATATCGAAAAGCTTTACGATATCACGAAGATTTTTTAATCCATTCTTATATTATAATACCTCCAAGTTTGGAAACTGCATGCAGAGAATTTAAAAATAGAACATTTTCCTATGATTAAAGACTAGTTTCTTTTCACATCGAGTTATAAAACTATTTTGTAAATTTTCTGTTAACATAATATAATATACATAATAGTAGTAAAACATAAGCTGATACTTACATGCCATACGATAAGTTTACAGGTATTGTAAGTTCTAATATGAAACTTTTAAAATCAAAAAGACGGGACGCTACCAACGTCGTGGAAAACAGCAATATTTTTAAAAAATGAGGATGTTTGAAAAAACTAATTTTGATATCCAAAATAACTATTGTACGCGGATGAAGTCGCTGGCACAGCTACTAGTAGAGTAGAATATTTATACTGTTGTATCTGTTGTTTGGAAAAAGGGTTTTATAACATTTTCGTAACTGAATACGAGACCTTCGATACGCATCGTGACGTCTCCTTATGCAAGTAAATAGCTTATCCTATGTCCATTAATCATAATATTGGGTATATCTAAATGTACACTGACTTGTAAGCGGGACGTCCAAAGCATGAACTCATAATGCTTAACCAAAAATTTGTGTATTTTTCCTTTTTGAAATTGTTCTTTCACTGCTGGATTGAAAGAAATAGTTTCCCGGGTACCGTTCTCGGACCTCTACCATATATTATAATACGCTGTGCTAAGATAAGTCTAAAAAAACTTTAAACGTGAAAACAATTTTCGATTAATTTAGTAAAACTACCTTATTTATATAATAAAATTAATGAAATTTATTAGCGCCTGTAGGCTTCTAGTAGCTAAGTATCATACGACTAATAGTAGCGCATGTTTATATCAGGATTATTACATATATAATTTAATTAACTTAAACTTTTTGCATACACGATTTATTTTTACTTTATTAAAATATAACGTAATGTAACGATTTGAATTAAAACTAAAATTGTATTTTTCTATTTCGTTCTAATATTATGAAGTAGTTAAAAGTTATCTACGTACAAGTATGTATACACAAATCTACTAAACTAAAATTCATTTCAGAATTGCTGATGACAATGGAAACAAACCCTGAATCGTGCAACTTAAAGAGTTTATTCAAACGGAAGGTCATTTCAGTGGGAAAAGTTGGCAGTTGTTTGTGAATAGCTTCAGTCTACAATCGTTTTACTGAAGTTGCTTTCGGCCTTTTGTAATGATCAATTTGTACAATGTAGATTTGTACTTGTGAATGGATTTTAAATGTTTGCAGTACCGTCACGTCGTTTAAGGTCTACCTTTTTTTTCGTAGACTAATTTTATAGGGCTTCTGTTTATTTATTTTACTAGCAGCCTAAGTTGATGCGTGAAGATTATAATTTTTTGGAGAAGGTCTTTGAATGTATTAAGTGAAAGAGCCGTGACAATTTCCTCGGCAGTTGTTTCCAGTTGAATACTATTTGATTTGGAAAGAAAAAAATTTCCATTTCCATTGCATTCTTTATATATGTCAGTGATTTATAAGTAAGCTGTAATTTCTATGTCGGGTTTTTATTGATAGGCGCCTAAGTGCTTCTTCATCAGAATCGGCGCGTCTTCGGGCATATCAAAGGAAGCGCGCTGAACAAACACGAACAGAGGGGGAGCGCTTGGCACGTGAAAGAAAAGAGAAAATGTTGCGAGAAAAATACGAAAACCAGAGGCAGGTTAGTTCCAAATAATAATACTAGCAATAAACAACATGTAACTTATTTGTTTCATAGACACCTAATTGTGATATTTTTATACGGTATGTTCAGTGATTTATTTAAAATAACAAAGCCAGAATGAAACCTTACTTTGGCTTGGCAAAGCATAATTTGTGATTGACATTTTTTATTTCATTACTTTGCCGTTTTTCATTATTTATAAGCCTGTGATTCTGTAAGCTAATCAAAGTTTATTTAAACACCACAGTCAGTGTAGACTGTACCAGTAGTTCTTCTAAAAGCCTATTTTGATTGTACCTATAGATCGTAAATGTAAGATGTTCTTTCAAATCTCTTTTTTTACTAGATAGACACATATTATATACGTCAATAAAAACACTCTATTTGCGTTAACGTTATAGCCAAATCTTGCTGCACTCGACTAAATTTCCAAATTTTAAAATCGGTGACTTTTTCACATCTGACATTGGAATTTGAAATAGGAAGAACTTAACAATTGTGTAGTCTTAGTATAATGTTTACAAACAACGTTATATAATAAACACATAACGGACAGAAGTCAAAACCTATGTGTTCAGGGTTGAGTACGTAATAGCGCATTGTTCTTTAGGTAGTTATTCTGAATTTTATGACACATTACATAAGTAAACGACACACCAAAGAAAATAACATAAACCGCCAATTGTGAATTTTCTTGAGCCGGTAGAGAAAGTTAACACATCGATAAATAGAAACGGTTTTGTTGCTTTGTGTGTCTAGTTTGACAAATACAAAGATGTAATAATTATAATTAATGAGAAACTACTCATCTTAGGAGCGGCGGATGAGTTATGTTGTGCATAAAAGTTCATAAAAAGTTCTTTGATTTAATAAAATGCCTTTCCGTTCTTAAACATAGTATTTTTAATTTCGATTTAAGTATAATTATTTTGGTGATTTAACATTTCAATGTTGTAAGTCTTCAACTAAATTCATACTAAATATTCTATGAAACTGAGTTAAAAATAAAATATTTCACGTGTTACATATTGTACAAAATAATAAATTATAGGTTCAGATTTTTTTTTAAAGAAAGAGGTCTTTGCAGATATGTGTTTAAAAGTTTGCATTTCATAGGCAAGAGAAGAATTAGCATCATACGAGCCCTGGGGTCGCGCAGGAGGAGGTGCCCCGAACCAAGGAGTACGATTTTCTGATATACGAGCTGCAGAGATATATCCAAATGATGAACTTAAGGTATTTTAATATACTGTGAGTGAACGGGTGTATCAAAAATAATGAATTAAAATAAATGACACCATAATAAAACCAGGATAGCTAATATTTTTTATTAAAACGATTATACAGGCAAAACTCGATGCTCCACTTCTATGCATCGTAGTTCGGTGACAAAGCAAGGTTACACTGTCTTTCGCCAGGTTTTATCCTGCCATTTTGTATTTTTTTTTTCAATATCCCTTTTGTAAGTTAAATTTCAAGAGACGAGCGGATGTCAAATACATCCAAAACGTACAAAGAAGAAAATAATTTCAGATTTTATGTAATATCCATACTAAGTATTTCATGCCACGAATGTTAAAAGGTCCTGTCATAAACCGTTTAATGTTCTTTAATGAAGCGTTTACCTCCAACAAAAAGCTATAATTGGTCGTTTGTAAGATCATTTCCCATCGAACAATCGAGCTACGAGTACATTATAATAGATAGGGTTATCGCGCCTTATAGTCACGCACCGAAAGAGATATCAAAGAATGCAATATACCTTTAAAAGGCGAAGGGTCAATCACATTGCGTGGATCTGTCATGCGGGAACCTGATTCTGCTAACTCACGAGACATGTCACAAAAGACTTCGACAATCGTTCGAGACGCCAACGTAATATCCGTTATTCCACGTTGGCCAATCGTTTGTATAAAAACCAAAGCCAAATATAAAATACTTTAGTAAGTAACTGGGGTTAAACTTTAAGGAATCTAAATTTATATTTACAATCAGCTTATGAATAAGACGTACTGTTACATATTATTGTTTAGAAAACCTACCCGCTTTATCATGTAAGGTAGTCAAACAGTATTATTAACAATCTATGTCAGCGACTTCGTCCGCGTAGAATAGTTGTTTTGTTCAAAATATGTTTTTGAAACAACTGGTTAAAAACTTCTATTATTTTTTACATGTTATTGCACATGAAGGCACTATATAATTTTAAAATCGAAAATAAATTGAAAAATTTTTGACTCGGGAGCAACAGCACGGAACGTTGACGATGCCGGTACAAGTCCTACCCGAGTCGGTTTTAAAAAAAAATATTTTCGATTTTTAAAACAACTGTTCAACTCTATAAAATTAATCAGTCGTTCTTGCCAAGACAGTAATTCTCCATTTGAGCAAGTAGTTCCTGAGATTAGTGCGTTCAAACAAACAAACAAAGCTTTATATATTAGTATAGATCAGTTGTTGCTGCACCCTGTCTTTGACTGATCACAACAAATGTTGCACACATTGATAAGTCAGTGGGGTCTGTCTCCAAGAGTTTGTTCATATCTGAGAGTTGCGTTGTACTTTAAGGTTGTAAAGTGCTAGTGTTTGTTAATATCTGAGAGTTATGTGAAATATTGTTGAGAAAGATGAGATAATGTTAGTAGAAATAAATAAAGAATAATAAAATTAATTTCCAACAAAAATATTTAAAAAAACGGTAGACTTAGTATCAGATGGTATAAGTCATGCAGCACAATCGACGGGCAAATCGACAGTGTTAACAGCAGAATCGGTTCCCGGTAATTGTGATGACGTAATGAGGATGATTAAACTGTGCTAATAACCCAGTCCTGGCATTCGGTGTATGGAAGCGCGTAATTTGTTGTTGTTTTAAATTTATTGCGTCGCAGATTTTTATTTTCGACTCGCATTAACTTGATTTCTTATTTCGTAAGCATGTCGCAGAATTTTCGGTGTTGCGTTATCGAATGTCTATCTGGAGGTTTTAATCATAGCTATTTATAAGTCATAACCAGAGATTTATTTGTGGTATAACCAACTATATACACTGCGTCTACTATTATCGTTTCTGAAGAAATATCATTTTGACATTCCAAACAGTGTATAAATTCATTTGTTCCACCGACTTATAGACACGAAAGTATAAAAATATTTATTACATATATAGTATATACTTACAACGTGGCTTCTTTGAATACTTTGCTTCGTCTATACTATTATAT